AAGCATGAAAATAAACCCATCCTTGGATTGGGTTCAGGCACTATGTTCACGGTGGGGAAAGGAGTGTAGAAATATTGGTTGTAAAACCCTTTCTCTAAGTTGTTATAAGATCTAAATTAAAAAGAAGCAAGTATCTACATATTAGTGTTGTTGCATTTCAAAAGTTCCTTGCCATCCAAATTAGCACTCCAAGGCCAAATGCTAGCTTTAGAGCTAATTCCTCTCATGAAAATTCTATATAACAAATAAAAGCACCAGGTTGTTGTATACTTAGCTTTTAGCCACAGAAATACGTAGCCAAAAGTATAATAGCTGTGTACGAGGAAAGATCAGGTGAATTTTTTCATTCTCGGAAGTGTGGGGTTATTCCTCCATAGTTGAGTTAATCGGGTCTTCTAGCCACAAGTTCTGCAGGGACAGCCTCCAAATAATCTGCAGAATCCATTCCCTTCATGCCAGTGTCACTGCCACTATCTCCTGAACAAGGTTAGTAGTTTAAGAGATTGGACCCGCCCAGTTGTAAGGGCTTAAAACCCAATTTCTGATACCTTAAATTATTGCTTCATATAACAAGGCATTGAGGGAAGCTGCTGGGTTCAGTGTGGATGTGAACAGGTTCAAAGATGCCATAAGGTCTTTGCCGCCCCCTCCCTCTCCCCTCCTTTTCCCTCTCATCTCTCAGGCTCTGCTTGTCTCTGCTTGGCTTCTTTAAGGCGTGCTTTCTCTGTATGGCAGACACGATGGCTGCCAGCAGTTCTGGATGCCCACTTCCCAGTTGAACCATCCAGCAGAAAGAGCTTGATAGCTCCTGGCTTTGGTGGCATGCCCGTCCCTAAACCGTCCCTGCACACAGGAACGGAGGGTCTCCAGATTGGCCAGGCCTCGGTCCCGCCCGTCTGTACGCTGTCGACAGTATGAGAAACAGCTTCCCCCCTGGAAACGGCCATGCCCTGGGTACTGTGACCCATAGAGATGTGCATGTGCTGATACAGAACACTAGGGCATCATTTCCTGAGGTACAACCATCTAAGCGCCTCCTGTTACGTAGGCCTGGTATCCGGGGGGAGTTCAGCGGGTATCCGCGAATGAACGAGTCCAGCTTCTGGCCCCCCTCCACGACCATCGATGTCACCCCTGTGCTTCCTTAGGCTTAATGACGTCTTACAGGACTTCCGAGGACAGACCTGCTCGGGAGCAGTCTTGGCCCTTACAGAGTCCTTTATTAATGTTTGAAGCAATAGATCTAGGAGGATACAGAGTTTTAGTTGGTAGAACACTTAGCTCATGCACGTAACATGGCACCTATCAGGTGCCAGCCCTGTCCTGAGCGCTGCACATCTCCGCAACAACCCTGTGGGACATGGACACTTTTATTATTCCATCGTCTCCAATAAGGAAATTTAGGTCCATTGACTTATCCAAAGTCACATAGCTCATGAGTGGCACAAGCCTGATTTGAGCCTAAACAGTCCAGTTCCATGGTTTATGTTCCTAGTCACTACACCATATTGCTTGGATAAAAAAGTGGTTCTCAAATTTCACACAAAAAAACAGTTCCCCCAACATCATATCACACCCACATTTGGATAATACCTCGGAAGACTAAGCAGCCACGGCATTTTGATGTGATTTAAGGACGGCTACTCAGCGCTCCCCCTTTGCCGAGATCTCCATCCTTGACCTTCTCCATTGTCTGGAATTCTAGCCTTGGAGGCTTACTTCTCTGCTACTGACCTATAAGAGTGGGAGGGCTGGGACACGGAGCCCACACTGGGCACGACGTTTTAACAGTGAGTAGTACATGGGTTTGCAAACTTGCTTTGTCGTTTCACGGGGCACATGGAAATTGACCAGGGAAGGTTTAGGGCGGGGGAAGAGAGCCTGTGAGAGGCGGTGAGGGGCGAGCTGGGCCCGCAGCTGGGGGAGCCACAACGTGGTGGGTGTCTTTTGTGCAGTGGACACACCAAAACTAGGAGATGACACTGGGAAACACATTTTCCAGAACTTTACAGCTAATAGAACTTGCCACATGTCTCATTATAGAAGATAATCCTAATGTCCTGCGAGATGAAAAGCTGACATCGAGCAGTAGCTCCCTGAGGAACGTTGGGCAGTATCTGGAGACATTTTTGATTGTCATGACTTGGGGGGAGGGGCGGAGCTATGCAGTCCCGTGGGTCGGGGACAGGGGTGCTGCTAAATGTCCTCCTCAGGAGAAGGAGCTGTCTGGTACCACGTGTCAGTCGTGCCAACACTGAGAAACCCTGTCTTAGTGCGTCAGTAATTTGGCCAGGTCATTAGCGAGGATCAGGTCAAGGCTGGCATAGGGCACGGATGACAAACCCTTACCTGTCCCCCGTAGCCTTTGGCGTTACAGTGTAATACAGGTGATGGCTCTATGTTTTGGGAATTACAACAGTTCCACTTCAAATGGTACAAATTATTGACAGCCCTTGGTGCTCTGAGCGTGTCAGCTCACCCCTTGCTATTTAATCTGTCCCAGGCCTGCATCACCTCCTGGAAGACGACTTCATGTTTAAAACACAGATGTCCCCTTTCCTCACTGAGTGCCCACATGTCCCCATCTCACAGTTTCCAGCAAATTATTTTATAAACAGGAATACGATTAAGTCCCCTAAAGCTGTTTTTGTGATTATTGAGGTAATTAGGATTGGATCACCACTCTTCTTGTGGGTACATCTGCTGTTTGGCTAGTGGGGTATCAGATGGCCTTTACTGAGAACTGTTATGTGTGTGTCAGTGGTCTGAATGAACAAAGGGCCACCTCATCCATATCTTCTTCACTGATTTGGGATGACTTAGCCCACTTGTGTATAGACTTCAGATGGTCAGAAATGTTAGCTGGAGTGTCACAAGAAGCTGACTTCATTACTATATTAAAAGGAAGAACGTTCAGAGAATATTGTCCAATTTTCCCCCTATGTACAAATGACTACACGTAAATAAGAGGACACAGTTTTAAAGATGAAAGAGAATCACACCTAATAAACATACTAGATATGTTTAATAAATATACTAGAACGCTCCCTGACCCTCTCTCACCTAATTCTTCCTATCAGATAGGTGTTGTTGGCTCCATTTTCTATATGAGGACGCTAAACCTACAAAGTTAAACATGCCGCCCCCAGTCACACATCTGGAGCCAACAGAACTGGAATTGGAACACCTGTCCCGATTCCAACATCCTTTGTAGCACTCTTCCACCTTCACACTTTCTCATCAGCCTGGGCTCTGGAACCTGGGACAGGTCGCCACGAAGGCTGTAGCTTTGCCATCCCCGAGAGCCTTCCAGAAAAGTGTGTGCAGCGTCTGTGATCCAGCTCTTTGCCTGCAGTCTTCAAAAGCCTGGCCCAAAATGCCGTGAAGGGAAACTGTGCCCATAAGAGACCCCGTTTCAAATATTGGTAAAGGACTGTTAGGGCCAGGCCAGTGTCACGGGGTTCAGCACTCTGAATTCCTGTCACGTATCATTGACCTTCTCAAGGGATATTTATTTACTTATTCACTCTGCCACGTCACAGACATTGGCAGGACATCTACGACATGTCATCCTATGTATTAGATCCACGAACCCAGTCCCTGCCCTCAGGGAAGTTAATATTTCATGTGATAAGACAGTTAACAAGTAAACAAAGCTTCTAGATTGTGCTCGGGAAGAAATAACGTGGCTGCAGGAAAAGAGAATCACGGGGAAATCCACTTTGGGAATGTGAGTCAGGAAAGGTCTAGAAGGAGAAGCGGTCCCCAAGTCGAGGTCCCGAGAGGTGACAAGGTGGAGCTTCGTCCTGAGGTCAAGGTGTGCAGAAGAGGGCGGGGCCCGAGCTGGGACAGGGCTTCAGATACTCAAGGAACTTGCAGAAGGACAGTGCGACTGCAGTTCATCCAGGGGTCACAGATGAGAATGAAATCCAGTCGGGGGGAGAGGCAAAGGCCGGGTCCGTGAGGCCGTGTAGGTTCTAGAAAGGAATTGGGCCCGAGTGCAGTGGGGAGCCGGGTCAATCTTTCCACCTGGGGAGGGAGGCCGTCTGCTTTGGATTTTAGAAGCTCTCAGCCCCTGAGAGCAGAAAGCATTGGGAGAGCACGTGTGGAGATGGGCAGCTCACTTAGAACAGTTCCCATAGGCTTCATGAGACGGAGGGGACGGAAGAAAGAGACAGAAGTGGGTTAACCTGACGGCTAAAGGAGCGACTGAGCAGACATTTAGGTTGAATGAGCTACCTGTGGACATTTTGTATTTCTCTGCACGGCCTCGAAGCCAGGCTGTCCGTCTCACTCATCTTGGCAGCGTCCTCTTCTGCTGTGGTCATGTGGAAAACAGGGCTCTCGAGAGTCCTCCCGGTCCAGCTCGGTGTCTGTCAGAGAAGCGTTACCTCCCCACCACGTCGTAGCTATCTGTCCCTCATTGTGGGGCCCGAGATGTGCCGTCCACCCTTGCTGTTCTGCCAAAGTCATGCCATGTTGTGGAATATTTTAATTTTTTTAAGTTCACTTCTTGCCTCTCATTAAAAGGGTATTATCTGACCTATTTCAGAAAAACATATGCTCAATAATAGTTCATTTAATTTAAGCTTCTCATCTAGAAGAAACCATTTTCAATGAAAATTCATAAAGTCACCAATCAAGGGGTTGTTCTCTTATTCCTCATTAGCAGTTTTAAGATGAATGGTGACCCACGATAAGCTTTCCCTTTGCATAATGTGGTTACAGCTTCCAAAAAGAAAAAGCAGCTGCCACCTGTCTACTATTTCTAATAGTGATTCCAACAGAATGTCGAGAGCATCTGAGCCAGAAAAGTACTACAAATCCCAAAGCCACACATTTTAATTATATGTATGTGTACATAGACCAATACCCTAAATAAAGATGAAGCTGTCAGGTGATGTGACCGTGATTTATAGTTGGAAAAATGACATAAATAACTTCCAGTTAGTCGTATGCAATAAACTTACCATTTTGGGGTTCATTTGCTTTGATTCCAGAATTACCATTTCTGAAGACGGGAGCCTCAGAATCATCAATGTGACTAAGTCAGATGCTGGGAGCTACACCTGTGTAGCCACTAACCATTTTGGAACTGCGAGCAGCACTGGGAACTTGATAGTGAAAGGTAACGACTCGCCCAGACAACACGTACATTAATATTTCTATTATCGTTTCTAATAATGTAATAATCTATAGAAGTGGTATCATTCATATTAATATGAGCAGATATCAGCGCGCTGCTAAATTAATTCATCATGGCAAACATGATATGATTCATAATTCTTAGAGAAGGGTGGGTAATGACTGTGATGGAAAGGCTATCTTATTTCAGAATCATCCAGTACAATTCTAAGAATTATAGCCATTGTATCTATTACGGTATTGTAACTAATGCTATCTTCAGTCCTTTAATTAAATTTCTTTCAAGTCTCTGTAGATTTGAAATTCATATCTAGGAAGACTGTGCTAACAAATTAAAAACCCACGACTCAAATACTATTTTTAGCAAGCATTGTTTAAACAATGACATTGGCAGTCTTTTAGAAGTTCTGCACCAGTGATTCAGAGTTGCGCACGTGGATTATTCTGCTAATAACGGGCTTGGATCACCTCTGTGCTTTGCTGTAGTCACCCAGCCACCCCTGTCAGCTTTCAGTCTTCCGCATCCCTTACCCTGGGTGCTGTCTAGTTATGACAGGAAGTCCCTGGTGCTCTTGCACAGCACGTGACGTCAGGTGTTCCAGCACCGGGATGAGGAAATGGGCTGACGGTACTAAGTGAGAACTGTGAAGGTTGCGATTTTCATTTTATTTGCATTTTTATCACTTTACATCATGCCTAGTTACAGAATTTGGGGGTTGAAGGGATCTTGGAGATGATGTGACTAAGGGTGATGAAGCTGGGGTTGTGACTTTCTCAAGGTCACCAGCTGCAGAAAAGGGGTGTTAACCCAGGAACCCTGGTTCTGCGTTCCCTGGTTATTTCTGCTGCACCAGGAAACACTTGTCCTTATGTTTCCTGTTTCTGCGTAATAAATATAAATGGGTGGCATCATATTAGTTCCTTCTGGCCCATGTGAGGCTCCCTCTGTAAAGTAAGATAGCCAAAGGCAAATAAAAACATTCAAAAAGAATATTTGCCTCAATGTTAATTTAAAGAAGAAAGTTAAAAATCACCTAATTACGTACTCTGAGGTCATTGGAAGTTGGAAAAGTCCTACCATTTGGGGAAGCCTTTTTATCATGAACATGTGTGTCTGTGCAGATAGAAAATTGGAAGCCCCGAAGTCAGAAGTAAATCTGTATTTAGATTGTCTCCACAGATTTCAGTCTCGTAATTCTTCACTTGGAGCAATGGCGTGACGTGTGACTGCCTGCGTGTTCACTCTGTTTCACAGGGTAAAGGACGAAGTTTAGATAATCTTTGTAAAACAAAATTCCAGCTAAGGATCTTTGCTAATGTGAGCCGCCTCAGCCCAGTGATCTACCAGGAGGGTTCCCAGGTCTCAGAACTGACACCTGCTGGAGAGTGTGTGTTAGTTACGGAGATCGGAGAGAATAGGATTCAAGAAGCAGTGGTCTTGGTAGTGATTAAGGGGCGGGGCTTGGGGTCCGAGAGACCTGGCTTTGAATCTCATTTCTCCCACTTACTAGCTCTGTGACCTTGGACAGAAAAGTTACTGGTGTGGGGATAATAGAGGTGTTGTGACGACTGAGATAATCCATGTTAAGTGTTTAGCACAGTGCCTGGCACTTGAGAAACAGTCGAGGTAGTTGTTGCTACTTATGTGTTAATGAAATGGCTATGCCTTTATTCTAAATCATATCGACATGGACATTTATGAAATGTCCACCCCATCACATTAGAATCATTAGCAAAGAGAAGTGAGCCCGCCAAAGAAATGACTGAGGGGTGAAAGATAAGACATCAACGCAGAGAAACCACACGTATGCTGTTCTGTCCTGCGGAAAGGGGGGACTTGTCACATGTGGAAATGAGCTACGTCCTGTATTTGATGGTCGTCCTCCTCATCAGCCTTGACTTCCTCAGCTCCCAAGATAGCTGGCAGAGTGGAAGGTCCTGTTTCCCGGGAGAGTTCTCACCCCAGCAGAACCCCCAGCCCCAGGACAAAGCCACTGCCGGCCAGCCCTGCTGCTGCCTGGGCTCATCTTGTCCTGAATTGTGGTGCAAATCTCACAGGTGCACCAGTGATGAAATATATGGTCGCCTCGTTTGCAGGTGGATATAAATGTCGCAAAGATAGTAACTTCCACCTATGTTAAGAAATTCAATACTTTATTTCTTGCCTTCTAGTAAAATGTAAACAGAGATTCCCCAAGGATGTTAGAAGAGAGAGTTTTAGGCATTTCATAGGTAAACTTTTTTTTTTTAATTTTTAGTAATTGCTTCTTTCAATGTGTATTAGGAAAACATTAGTTTTCCACTTATGGCAAGCATAAAAAATATCTCATTTTAAGATACATTTAAGTAAAGAAGGGAGTGAGTGTAAAGAAAAGTGCTACATGTGCATTCTCACGAAAGGATATGTGAAAAAGCACGGAGATGGTCCATGAAGATCGGGGAACATGAGTTAACAGCAACTTCCAGGAGAGCTCAGTGGACTTAGGGGAAGGCCGGGCATGGACATGTGACAGGGTCAGCCTACCCTGCCTCCGCTGGCCGCGTGTCCTGCTGAGGCGCATGGGACGCTTTAAAATCAACGTTTCCGACCAGGTGGGGAGAGGGCAGGCTGGACAGGAAGAGCCCTCAGAGAGGCGGAGCCTGTGAAAAGCGGAGGCTGAGGGGTGTTGGTACAGCTGTGCCATGGGGGTCCCCGCCCGCCGGCCGGGCAGAACGCGTTCCTTCCAAAGGAAGCTTTTGTCTCGGCGGCGGTGGCAGTCAGCGTCCCCACCGAGGTCCTCTGGTTCTTGTGTTATTCTAGATGAAATGGGGGGAAAATGAAAAGAAACATGAGCTTTCTCTGGTCCAAATGCTCACCCAGGTTAACAGCCGTGATGCTATGGGCGAGGTCGAAGGAATTAGAGAGAATGTGTCTCCCATGCGTGTTGCGACTCCCGGTAGCATTAGTGGAAAGTGCGCGTGTGCAGAGGAGCCTGTAGGTCCCTGGGGAGGATGTGAACATCAGCTGAGAAATGCAGTTTAGAAACCTGCCCCAGAAAGCACGATAAAGGCCGAGAAAACCATTCTGAACTCACGGTGAACTGTGCCAGTTTCTGACTCACATATCAAAATGCCGAGTCCGCCCCTTTCAGGCAAATGAGACAGTTTAACCCCAAATATGAGGGAGCGTGGTGTGTTAATTCAACTTTGAAATCTACAGAGGGACTCGTGTATCAGGGAAGGCGTTCTCCAGCCTGAAGAGGCGCTTGTGTTCGTTCTGATCTCCTGATATGTCTGGGATTAACACGCCCATGAAGGTCAGACATCAGAGCACATCTTTTCTGACCTTTTCACAATAATTCTGTGATTAACAACACTTTTAAAATCCAGTTCTCTTCCTCCCTGTCCCCACCCCCGTGCTCCATAGAGAGGCTGAAGATGGGGTCAAACACAGAGTCAGGAGGTAGAGGAGGGGAGGGAGCGGACAAAGCCACTACACCAGGTACAGGAGGTTTGACGTCGTCTTGGGCAGGCAGAGGTCAGATGTATATGTATTCAGATGACTTGTGAGCAGGCGGCCTTCCACAAACTGCGCAAGTCTGACAGGTGCCTGGAGGGCTCTGATTACCCTGCCATCGTCTGAATTCCTACATCTTAGCAATTTCATTTCTCAAGCTAGCTACAGTGTACTTGCAGCTTTCATGTTCTGCAAGAGCAGGTCTCAGGCCAGAGCCCCAAATCCTAATGCCGAGCAGAATGTTTGACTTTTGAGCAAAGGTGTGCTTTAGCAATGGCGGCCAGCATTAAGAACCAGTGGCAGGCAGGGTGACGGACATGCCACGCTGTACCTGTTGGTCCATTTCTGTCATGGCAGCGGAGTGAAAGGCATGCCATTCGCAGGATGCAGACCCTGTGCTGTACAGGTGTCCTGTGACAGGCGTGTTTAAGTGGCAGTCTGAGAGAAGAGTCACACGGTGCATTCGTCTCGGGCGCAGCTCCGCCTGATGGCGGCAGGTATCGTAACCAGCTCCTATTGATCACCTCCTGGGCTCAAAATGAGATTCAGGGAGTTAAGCTGTGCATGCCGTTACCATAGTTACCTTGCGGCACTACATCCATCCAAAATGACCTCGAGGAACTGTGGCTGGTGGTCCCCGACTGTACACTGAGAGACCCCGTCCTACCCCAAAGAACTTGGTGCCCGCCACCAAGCCAGTGCAAGTTAAGTGGGGTGCTTAATAGAAATGCAGGTTTCCTAGGTCTCACCCCTACCCTAATAAATCTATATTTTTATTATGCACTGTAGTTGATCCTCATACACAGCCAATTTGAAAACGTTCATTTCTCAGGGGTGAGCAAATGATGGCCTGTAGGCCAAACCCGGCTGGCCGCCTGTTTTTGTATAACTCAGGAGCTATACAGAAGAATGGTTTCCACGTGTTCAACCGGTTGAAAAAAAAATACAATCTTTTCAGACATGTGAACATTTTATGAAATTCACATTTCCATGTCCAACATAAAGCTTTCGTGGAACACAGACCCTTCATCTCTTCACATACGGACAATGGTCGATTTGCACTGAATAACAGCAGAGTTGAATAGTCATGACAAGAGGCATGTAACATATACATTCCTACATCATAATACCCTCAATTTTGCCTCTTGACCAGCAAAGCCTGAAATACTGACTATTCAACCCCTTACAGAAAAAAATGTACTTCCCGTTTTGTCTCATAACGTTTTCCCTTCCCCGGATCGGTCCTCAAAATTTGGTCCAAGGTGTGGCCCAGCCAGGTTGTACTCAGCTGTTGTTAGACCTCATGCTGATCTTCCTGAGTTAGATTCCAAGCTGGAATTAGAAGGGCAATTTCTTTCCCAGGACCTTAGCCTCACTCCCCTGTCAGAAGGGTTGACCTCAGTGCTTGGATACAAGCTGAAAATCCAGAGAGGCAAACAGATCATTGATTGAGAGAGAGGAGAGAGGTACCTTGGCAGAGTCGGGGA